TCGTTTCATCAAATTCACTTAATTTGTTTTTCCATTAAAACTGTAGGTGTAAAATTTAAATGTAAATTATTGCAACCATAGCTGCCTAGTGAAACAACTTAATTTAACTAAAATTTTATACAATTTTAATGTTAGAAATATTTTCTGCTATATAATGGAAAACTGAATTAAGTAAAAGTCAACTAATTTAGTTAGTGACATCCACAATATACTTTACATTACAATACACTTACGCTGACGACGTTTTTGAGGTTCAGGCCTAAGCACAGCTCTTACTGCCTCATCAAATACCTGTTTAAGCCCCCTTTGTGTTAGAGCTGAACATTCCATGTACTTAACTGCCCTAATCTTGTTTGCCAACTTCTGCCCCTGCTCCCTCTTAATAGGACTTAAGCCTTGATCGGCTAATGCATTTAAGGTTTCACGATCATCACGTAAATCAATTTTTGTACCTAACAGCAATTCAAAATTAAAATGCCGGTATTACAAAACCTGATAATGAGTTACCAACTAATATTATAGGTGCATCAGGACAGTGATGTTTGATTTCTGGATACCACTTTGAAGTAACATTTTCAAATGAGGAAGGTGAAGCAACACTAAAGCATATTAGGAAAACATCAGTCTGAGGATATGATAATGGACGTAGTCTATCATAATCTTCCTGCCCTGCAGTATCCCAAAGTCCCAAACTAACAGAAATCCCATCCACAACCATAGACGTGGAAATATAATGAAAATTCCGATTTCACTTTTCGACCCAATTACAATAACTTCCTAATGGGAAGTTAAAAATCCCCATACCTAAAGCTCTCCTCGTTAGATAAAAGTATAAATATTACAGAATAATTACCTTAGTAAAATAGTACAACATACAGATCAAAAAGAGTTTGAGTCATTGTCATAAAAATATTAAAAAATGCATATGACATACATTATAGTTATTACGGATATCTTTTGTAAAATTTGGTTGATAAATGTTTATTATGATAAAAATCTAAAATTGTTACGTAGGTACTGTTCTTATATGTCTATGCATTTAAAAATCTAAATGATTATGATTTAGGCAGATTGTGTATACATTTTATCAGCAAATGTATGTTTATATTCTTTTCCGAGCTTTTACGATAATTTTTACAAGATATTTTGAAAATACCTAAAACAAGTAGGCCATTTAATTCGTTACGAAATTCTGAAATATAAGCACTTTTCTTTTTAAATTGTTGGTGTGATAAATAAATATTTAACAATTAAACTGCATAGGGGTTAAAAGTGATTATTATAGCTGAAAAATATTGTTTAAAATAAATGATTCTTCGAAAGCGTAGAAGGGCAAATCGAAATTTTGAGTTGTGCATTGAGTTACCCATTTGTATAAGAAGAAAGGCTTCCACGGCTTGAATCCATGGTAAAATTATGATTCGAACTAAAGCACCGTAATCTAAATAAACTGTTAGGTCCAGACGTTTCGTCGGCAACTGTGCTTGACATCCTCAGTGCTAATGTGACAATATGAGCAAAGGGGTCTCGACAGCACTCACATTATTAACGCAGTGCTGTTACGGTTGTTGTCTGAGATTCAATTGCCTCAGGTTAAGTTAGATTAGGATTGGGTTAGATTAGGTTTGGTTCAACAGTGTAAACAAAAGAAAGTGCACGAAGTGAGTGCTGTATTTATCTACACTAATATTATGATCCTAATCGAATTTAATGCATTCATTGGATTAATTGGGATTATAAGGAACTGACTTAAGTTAGATTGCGATTCAATAAACAGTTCGAGTTGCAAGTTGTAATTTCATTACAAGTCGAAACTTCAAAAAAAAAATGTTTAACACTTCTACGCCCTCGAAATACATTTACAAATTTACAAGGTCACCATCAATACATGAATGATTCATATTCCCATTTCCGTGCTAAGTAGAGCACCGTATTGCTTGTTACTTGATTTATCTGCACAAAATTATGCCGATTAAGCGTCTAACCTAGCCCTTGTACTTCTAAAAATGACCAACTTCAAAACAAAATTAAATATATCCACACATATTGACTTTTTCAAATAATTTTTTAATGACATTTTAATATATATACTGATAACTTTTAGATACTAGTATGTTTTCCCTTTTGAAAATGAAGAAGTACGTAATGTGCTCATTTGTAATGGAAATTGAGTTTGTACTGTTATAACGTTTATAAAACGTCCTGTAATTATTAAAATACGTTCACGTATTAAGGATGTCCAGTTATATACAGTAAAGAGTAAAAGCTTTTTATTCTAATATATTTAAATGTCAAACTTTAAAATTATAGTTAAAAAGCAGTGGGCAACGGACAATATACATACATATACAATTACTATGATAAAAATATACAAGGCTAAACTTTTAAATGCATATAAAAATTTCACTATACGTTTGTTGATGCTGTCAACACAAAATGGCACAATTGAAAAGCTGCTAATTAATAAATATTACAATTTTNTTATGTAGCAGTTGCTTCTAAGAAGACAGTATAGGGGATGAGATTTGTAAATGTGAGGATATAGTGTTCGTGTTCATATTACATGTTCACGATAGACATCATCACTATTGTTACGAATGAGGAAGACCACTGACAACAGGAGATATGTGTGATGCAAGTATACTTCAGCCAGCTTCATGGGAGACTTATTGACAAATCTAAAATTACAGATTGTATAGTTATTGTTAAATTGTGTTAGAAACGGTACGTATGTATGTAGTGGTAGGACGTCTTCTCAAAACGATGGAAAAAGGGAGTTGTTCAATGTAGAGTAAGTGAGACAAAGAAAGAGCGCTAATTGCACTGTTTAGTAAACTGGTTTAAGCAAATATTATAGTAAATCGCTATTTCATAAACATATTATCAATAATTAATACTTGATAATATGTTGGTAATTTACACCACACGTAAATTGAAAGGGAGTTTACAGGTAATTCATGCGTTCACGCGCCGCAGCTTCGTTGAGTAAACAACCATACTCGCGAACATTCGTGACAAAGGATTCTGACGCATGCGCATGCAGAATATGAGCGCAACATTAGCGCATGTGGATTAGGATGACAGAGTATACTACGCATGCGTATAAGGCAAAAAGGCAGGTGTTAACCATGCAGGTGACGTCACGGCTGAAACCGCATTGTGATGGTGGTTGAGAGGCGAAGAACTTGTTTTGTAGGAAGGTGCGGGGTAAGAGGGGAGAAATTGGTAAACGAAGAGCGTTGTCTCATTATGTTGTTGAACTTTGAGTGGAGTGCACACAGAAATTTGGAAAGATGTTTGTTGAAAATGCGAAGAAGTTGACGGTGCAGAAGTCCCATATAGGGAAATTAAGGACGGTTGCTGTAAGTAGAATGAAATATTTACTGAAATGTTTAGTATTAATTATGTAACGGCAACGGGTAGGAAGAAGCTGGGAATCCGGCGGAAAAGTGTGCCGACGACGTCTCCGACGTGGAGCGGTTTGGCGACAACATCCACTACAAAAACGGCGATCCCAGCAGAAAATGAAGGCCTGGTGAAAAAAAGACTTGTGTCTCGAACGCGCCCCGTCGGAGCCACGAACAGAGCCGAAAACGAAGATCATACATCGTACCTATTGTCATTACATCATATATATTGTTATGTTCGTGGGTTTAACACATTAACTTTTAAGAAGAAAACTATTTATTTACACTAATTACTATTAAACTTAGAAACACTATTAAATTATTACTACTTCGGTAATTATTCTATTTATTTACAGTACTGTTACTATTCACTGTCCTATTTATTTCACTTCTATCACTTCAATTTATCTCTTGATTCACCTCTGCAACGGTCAATTTATTTCTACTCCCTTCGGCGATCGTCTCTTCCTTTTTATACTCCCTTGCCTCCTTTCGAGAACGTTCTTCAGCCTTCCAGAGAAGTCTCGTTTTCTTTGAACGGTTTAATTGCTTTCCCGGAACGCAGGTACGACACACACGCTTACAGATACGGCACACATGAAGAAAAGCGACCGCGGCAAGTCGGCGAATCGATAAGCCGCTCATACACACGTATGTCCGATCGCACACAATCACGCTCGTGGTCGCTACAATATTGTCGTTTTTACTGTTTTACTTTATCGACTTTAAACACCAATAAAAATGTTTTGTTGCTCAATTTGTGATAAAACTTTTACATTTAATAAAAAAAAATTGAGCAGGCATTTAAAGTCTGCTCACATTGTGCTGATAATACAAGAACATACTCGTGCAGTTCTTATGATTTTTCGACATCGCGCGCAGATACCTTGACCTTATATCAGTTTTATTAATTTTATAAATTTGTTTCAGAGAGTGGATTAGGCCTACTTTAATAAGTGGTGAGGAAAAGATAATAACAATTTATTTATTGTAAAAGTATATTGCGGCAACAATTGACTGCTGCCGTGATCATTTTTTCGACGAGCGAAAATATTTGTCAACGAACCTTTTAATTCATTCCACATTTCGTGGAAATGATAGAATACAAAAAGAAAAATAAAAAAATTAAATAAAGCAATAATTTTTTTATTTATTGATAT